GATTAGATATTTTATAATACTTTCTCTACTTGTACTCAATGAAAAAGGAATTTGTTATAAAATAATTTGTTTAATGATAAAGTTGTATTATCACACTAAAAATTATATATGAAATGAATGAAATGTTTTGAACTTTACACTCTTTACTTTATATTTGTATATAAATATATATTCTTCGGGGGGGGGGGGGATCGTCCGGGGGGGGGGGGGGAGGAATGTCCGGGGGTAACTGTCCTAGAATCCTTGTGAAATAGTAACTACAGGCACTATGACTCCATCGCCTTAATCTCGTACGCAGGCTGCTTGTATTCCCGGCTTTCCCTGAATGTGAGTGAAGGTCACCACAATTATCGTGCATTGCAGCGCAATGGGATTTGTTTCTAATGCTCATGTTGTTGCCCATATGAAGCTGCACATACAGTACAGACAGTATATTGGTCAACCACAGTTACCCCTTAATATTGTCCAGATCCTACAGTAGCGTTGCCATAACAATAACCTGGAGGACTGTTCAGGCCATCTCAGGACAAGTCAATTATTCCACCACTTTAGGCATCCAATCCTGGATTTTCCCGCCAATTCGATTTTGCCTCGAAATAGAGAGCATTTTATATTTAAGAGCCATTGCTCAATCCGTCCCTGCACTTAATGGCGATGTTTTATACTCTTTCCAATTAAATGATTTAGTTCTGAATTACTTATTAGGCACTTACAGTGTCATGTCTTCTAGTACAGTTCAGAGGGAAATATCGACATCAAACACTTTTATTTCTTGAGTTGCATCATTTTAAGGTCTCAATTGACAGAGGTAATAGGTAGATTCACAGGATAGGTGGAAATAGAACATACGTACGAGTATGGGTCATTTTCAAACGCGGACAGTATACCTTCAAACGATATCTGAACTCGTGTTGGATTTTTCTTTTATACTTTGATAAATGATTTCTATGGTAAACTAGGCCAGACCTGACTTCTGTAGAACTTCCGCATATACTGTACCATAATGTAAGCCCTCAGTGTCAGATCCTAAACTGCCAGTGGGTTCAAATCTTACAAAACCTATTTCTAAGAAGAGCATTTACAAACGTTAGGATTTGAAATGGATGGTAAGTGGAATTTGTCGTTATTGAGAAAATGAAACATGTAAATGGGAGTTCTTATTAATTACTGATATTGTTTAATTAATTCAATTAATTACCAACACATGAAATACGACCACCGCTGTTTGTTAATCTTTTTTCGAAAAGATTAGAAATACATGTCCATTGCCAGTGCGTACATTTATTATTATTATTATTATTATTATTATTATTATTATTATTATTATTATTATTATGCATCCCACCAGAGTCGAATGCATTTTTGCCGCCGTTTTTGACTGGAGGAGATTCAGATATAGTCTGGCTAGACATGATGACCGTCTCTTGACCTGCGTGGCCTGGATGGGGTGGGGGCTTCACTCTTTAAGGGAGATCGATACGTTAAGATGTATTTCCGTATCCGCGGAAATAAATATCGTCATGTAATAAGCTAATGCTGCCCAACATATCGGGGAGAATTTGCGTACTCATACTGATGACGAAACAGAAGCGTTTTTTTGGGGTGAAAACTGATATCAATTTTTAAACTGATCTAATTTATCGCAACAATAACTACTACAATCTGTTGCCAGAAACTTTCTTGAAAGGTTTGCTTCTGATTTTATTAGTAAAGAGGCGAAGTAATGACCTTTGTTAAGTACCAGTCTCTGTAAGAATCAGAAAAATAACACAGTGACATTAGAACACGACCCTCTCAGATTTTGCCTTCTTAAAACTAATATATTTCAAGGCCAAAAATGAATATTTTAATCAGTTAATTTTTAGAGCATTTTATAGTCGAGATTGGAATTTGACCTCCCATATGCTACCTTATAAAAAGTGTACAGGCAACCCTTTATTCACTCACTTATTACTCATATGGCCGACGTAATTATGAAAGCTGGGCATGTTAGAAATATTCAAAGTATATTTTGGTCCCAATGATGAAATGTTGAAAATTCAACATTTTCATTTTCTTTCTAATTTTTCAAGATCAGAAAAAAAATAAGCGCTTCATTATTTGTTTTAAGTTCAAGTAAGACATGATATTAAATGACATACATGTACAGTTTCATCATTTTTCTTAGTCCCTGACGAATGCACATAAACCGAAATCTCGAGCGTTTTATACCTTGTTTTATCTGATCTTTATAGGTGCGTTTTTAATTTCTTAACAATATATAAAACTGTTAATATATAAGTAGAACGTCAGCCTAGATTTTTTTGGGACATTTGAACCAGCTGTTATTAATGTAAAGATAACAGATCTATGCATTCATTGTGATTAAATATATTATAAACCAGGGTCAGTCGAACACCATTTCCCCCCTAAAACCATGTCTTGGTATTAATTTCATTTATTGTTTAAGGCACCTGAAAAAATAGTGTTACTGCATGAGGAATGTTATAAGCGTTGTTATAAATGTTGATATCAATGTATTCTTAATACCACACACATCAGTTGCTGATTTCCCAGGGGCGTGTGAAAAAAATTAATGTTTTATCTGGGCTAAGATTGCTGACAGTCGGCTGCCATACAACAGGTACGCTGACCTCACCAAGTTGACCCCACAGCGGTCCATGAAAGATTGGCAACAATTCAAGGAGCTGGCTCCCACCGTGCGTTAACTTTAAAACTGAGAAAGCGGACCTTGATATTACCTTTAATTTACGGCTGATATATATATATATATATATATATATTTTTCTATTTAGGTTCTCTGGCGAACTCTTTTAAAACTGTTGGCCTTGAAAATGCCGATTGTCTCCGCAACTAATATGATTATAGCTTCACTTTCAAAAATAATATTACATGCGATGCATTTTAAAATAATATGTATACAACGCGTCTCCGTGAAACACAGTGCCAAAACACTCTGTTTTATAAAAGGTTTAATTCAAAACAGAATTTTCTGAGGTTCAATGGTCAAGCAGTCGGCATGAAAGTGCGTAAAAGCTGAATAATTCAATTGTACATGTTCAAATTGGTTCTTATTGTGTCTGCGATGAAAGAATCCTTGCAGAGCACATAGGTTCAGACCCCGTGGCCGAGCAGTGGCCGTACAGTACTGTCTGACCACAGGGTAAGCTAGTAGTCTGTTACAAAATAATTGTATCGCTGATACTTTAATTTTGTATACATTTTTAGAAGCCCGTGATATCAGACGGTTGCCGCACTGTGGCCGTACTGTGGCCGGCCGGTGGTCGTCTCTGGAGCACGATAACGTGAATATTGCGTGGATATAACCGCTGTCCTGTGACCCACTGTAATAGCAATAAATCACAGAAATCGTATAATTCTTAGAACAAAATCACCCCTAGGTGTTTTAGGTTTTAATATCTACAAGCTGTCGTAGTTTTATCATTCGTTATTGTGTAACTGATCATAGATGCTTGTCTTCTTGAGATGGCAGCTTTTTAGAATCTATTTTCGATACTGCATTCTGAAAAAAAAACCGCTGGAAGAGCTTAAGCCTAATGATAGAGACAGGGATGGTGGTGAAAAGACATGGGGCTCATTAAATAAAGGCCAAACTATCAAAATGCACTCTACATGTAGGTTGTATTTCCAGGCCAGTCGCGACAACTTAGCTTAGTGCGTTCTCTCATCAGACCACCTGATTACAAAATCGAATCTAAAGAAGCGTACGAAGATAATGATAAGATCTTAGATTGACTACCTTGAATGTCTTTCAAATAACTTCTATTTCCATATGTGATTAACTTTTCAAACCGTAAAGAAATGAGATTATTGCCCTGATGGCTTATCTAACTGCATCCAGTATTAATTCAATCTATCATGTATTTCCTCTTGTTCGTCTGATAGTCATTACTCATTTTAATAAATAAGAGAAAATAGGAGAGAACAAAAGTGTTCCTAAAGTTTCATGCACGCCTCGCTTTGCACAAAAATGCCCGTAGAAAGGTCGAGTACAATTCTTTTCTGCACAATTTGTTCTTGGGTGCTACCACTGTTCAGTTTGTGAGAAGAGTTATTTGAATTCGAATTCCAACTTTTTCCCTAATAATTACTGACGTGTACATAATTCTCACCTCACTTCCAAGTTAACTTATCGTAAGCCCCCCCCAAAGGCATTTTTATGTGAAAACAAATTTCGAATTGGGGCCGCTGTACTTATTCCATATCAAATTGGAGTATTCAATTCAGTTTAAACAAAGCACACCAAAGTTGCATAACTGATAAAATGCATTTCACGCGCAACTTTACATAAACCATGACAAAGCGAAAAAACGTATCGTTGAATTGGCTCTTCTTTGATATAAATTGATTTCACATTTGTCTCGTCGCCTACAAATTCACACACACTTCCACTGAGTAATGAGGTTGCTGATAGAAATTACTTATATGCCAATTTAAGTATTTTTTCTGGATGCAAACGAATGAACTATAAGCATGTATAGAGATTTTTCAATGTCACAAAAAAGGAAAGAGAAATGTTCTTCTATCAAACATACTGTACCAAACGTTTCAATTTTCTAAACAGTATCGTTTACTTTAATGCGACTGAAGGATATTGGAAGATTTGGACGAGGTAGTCTGGATATACATTGGAATCGATTTCCAAATTCCATTTGGTCAAATAAATTAATTCGCCCCTTTTCTATAAAAGCACCATTCTATCATTTGTCTACGTAAATCCATCACCAGATCATATGTGTCAGTTGACAAATTTCGACACTTAAATGAACATGACAGAAATAAGTATCGGTACTTTTAGAGTGAAAGACTTTAACGCGTCACCTCTGTCAGATCTGACACTCAAATACATACAGTATGTCTAGTGTATTACATTCAGTGAATATGGACAATGGAACGAAATAACCTCACCACCTGCGCCGCAAGAATAATAAAGGCAATCAAGAGTATTTCTACTCAAACATTACAGTCCGGGAACGTACCTGATGTCTTTGCCACCTGAACCGCAAGAATAATAGATGCAGTCAACAGCATCTTCAGAATGTGTGCGCCGGTCATTGAGATCCAGTTTTCCAGATAATGTGTCCTGTTTTGGTCACCTGGTCTGTGCGGAGTTCCTAAGATGCTTAAACAGTTCTACACTAACTTCAGCAACAGGGCCACTGGTTGTAGTTCAGTTCGNAAAAAGAAGTTCCACTTTCACCCTCCTCTGCAGAAGGGTTCACCAGGTGTGGACTACGTCGAGATAGCTAACTAAAGCACGCTCAAGGTGCCAAAGAGAATGTAATGAATTTTTCCTCCGCTGTGAGCTCTCTGTATCCGTTTTCTTACCAAAAGAGTTGGGAAATGCTTGCAATGCTAAGCACGATTACTTTTACACCGATGCCCAGGCTTTTTCTTTACTTTCTGCAACTAGTTCGATAACGCTAGAACTGCCAATGTAACTCTTGACTTGCCTTTCTGTCGTGTTGTGTGCACGTCGATAAACTACACAGACAATTCAGTGATTGCGCTGATAATAGTTTATGTCAAGATTAAAACAACACAGAACGCAGTCTTTGATAATATACATGCGCCGCTCCCTTTTTCTTTCCTTTCGGTGAGTGAGCGCCACTGCTTAAAGCTTTCCCCAGTGTTATCGACAAAAGTTACACTTGATTGTGTTGACGACAGCTCACGTTGGCAAGATATACAGGCAGCAGTGCGCAGGTTTCTTAATGATTCTTAATAGCCACCTCTCTGACAAGTGACAGACGCGCGTGAGGGTCCCGATGCCGACTAGGAAATTCCACGAACTCGGTGTGTCTGATAAATGAAGGAAAACGCGCTGCGTCACTGTCACCACGCGGCGACGTCCTGGTCGCAATGAGTGCCCCGTTTATTATTAGAAATTATTTTGCACTTTTCTTCGGCATCTAACTTAAACACATTTATGACTGACTGACCCGATTGTTTTGTCTGCCTTCCTGGCGAGATCATGAAGTAATAATAATAAAAAAACAAACACCGTGCGAGTTAAAATATCTTTTTTGCGCAATTTTGTGATACTTTAATAGCTCTTTTTCAAAATTGCCCGATGCTACATGTATGAAATGTAAAGTCTGTTTCACCAAAACGTGCAAAATAACATGCTCTCTTTTTAGAAACGTGTCAATGAATCTTTAAAATATCTGCAAAGTGTTCCACAGCTTATCCAAAGGGCATAGGGACGAAGACACAGAGCAATGACATTCAACATAAGAAAAAGAAAAGCAAACACACAAAATTAAAACATATACACAGGACCGGAATACACTGGCTCCGTTCACTTCACTCACACCTCGGATCGATTTTAAACTGCAACGTTGGTTTTGAGCGGATACAATAAACTTATTTGTTCTGTGCAGGCTGTGTACACTCCGGGGTGCTCAGCCGAAACCTTGGTCCTGCTTCATTAAAGACACATCTTTTGCAAAATAAACATATCATAATGTCTCTAGCTCGATCTACAAATATCAAAATCTGCGCAAAAAAGACTAAATGCGTCCTTGGAAAAAGAGGTAAATGGAGAAAAAAATGCGTTTGCAACACTACACACACGTCAGTTTCGATTGTAATTTAACACTTAATTCGTGATTAGCAGCATTGCTTCAGAGAGAAAAATCAAGTTTGATTAAACACAACACAGTAGCTGTACCCACTGTAGAGCAGGCCACGCCAGTGTGTCCCGCTGAGAGCCTGTCAATCTCCTTGCAGACGAGAGAAAAAAGCGCGGAGTTGTAGTAAATTTTCTCTTTTTTCACCCAATACAGAATGATAACTAGCAAACCTACCCTAAACCTGCCTTCAGAAAGAAATAAGTTTCAAAATTATGAATAAAGTATAATTTTGAAATGAGAAAAATGACAAAAGAAAAATTAAGCTGTGTTTGGAATGTTTGCAAACTGGTTGAATAGCGGGAACCACTATCATTATACTAACTACAATATTATCTGCCCCTCCCCCATCCAACACACACAGTTTAGACAACATCACATGAACATGAAAGAAAACAAGGCTAGGTTGACTTGAATACAACTCCATTTAAATAAACCCACTTCTGACAGATATAACCTCAAAAACATATTGATTTCATTTCAAAGCAACTCCATGCCTTTTAAATCTGATAGAGTTTGGGATCTGTCTGCTTTACATCAATTGGTCTTTGCAAGAGACTATATAACTTTCTCGCCCCTTTTCAAATGTCATTACTGCGTTTATGTTTGAAAACCACCTCTCGCTACTTACAGTGGGCAAAACCTCGTATTAAAAATCAACATGTGAGTGTAGAACACTTGTTTCTTCGTCTTCGCAAACTAACATTGTCAATCCAATCATGGCAAACGGCCTTAAAAATAGATACATTTTTGTAGTGATCGGTGCGTGAGAAACGTGTTAGCATCCTACCATCTACCATTACCAGGGTGGCAGATTATATAGGGAAAAACGGGAAAATCCAGAGCCAAATGACTATTTATCCAGAGACATATCTGTGAATATCTGTGAAAAATCAATCTGTTAGAGGGTATTAGCATCCCTAGATTTAAAAAAAAACTAGAAAAGCACACTTGATAGGACTCAAAATTGGAGTCTTAAGGCTCATCCCTTTCATCAAATATTTTACAGGTGGGATTTTCCAGTGTTTATTTTGAAAGTAAGGTATATACATGACGATATAGAATTTTTGTTTTATGGTAAAGACGAACTTTACCAAAACTCCCAACAAAATGTCAAGCCTACATATAAATTTGCTGCCTGTTGAGATCTCATAATTCCTATTTATTTGTCTATTCTTAAATAATAATCGAGAGGTATGCATTTACATATATGTTAGTCGCCAGTCTTTATTAACATAGTTATTTTCTTCAAGGAGTTTTTTTTCCTCGGTTGGTTTGTCAGTATAAAACCGAACTGAGGAAGTTATAAGCGGAATTTGAAAAAAAAATTAGAAAAAGACCCCTCTTCACACACACACAACACACACACACACACACACACACACAGTATTACATTGCATTTATTGGGCGTGCGTTAAACGAAGCCTGTGCACCAACTGGGTTACATGTCTGGAGCTACTTTAGTCGCAGACGAAGAGCCCAGTTTATGCACTGTACCCGGTAGCAGAATAGTTGAGGAAACTGGGAAATTTCACCCGCTTAAATGTGATGATAATTTTATTTTAGCAGATATGTTGGGCTATGTATACATAATAGCTATTGACATAAAATAGTCTGTCTGTGGTAATTGAATTCACTTTTGTTGTCTCTCTCTCTCTCTCTCTCTCTCTCTCTCTCTCTCTCTTGGTTGTCTGTCGCTAGGCAGCATCCATCTCGATCTTCCTTTCATCTTTCCCTAAGTTTATGTTCCGCCGTTTTCTTTCTTTTTGCGCCAGTAGTTGGCTATGGAATGGGATATTAGTGGGATTTAAACTCACCATTCCCTATAGTGTTGCATGTTATATGTCCGCACCTAGGCGGATATAGTCCCTTGCCCTCTCGCGCGTGATTTGGAGGTTGCTATTTGGGAACTCTTCAGGAATAAAAAATCTGTATCAATATGAACGACACTTGATGTAGAGAGCTTAAAGTGCAGTTTATGATCGTTATGTGGCTTCGAATTACAGCGATAAAAATGCTTCAGTTGCAAGTTCGTTTGAATCATTATTCTTAATTTGAAAAACGTCAATGCTAGTTAATAAGAGGAAGCATAACTTGTCGTGTGTGGTTATATTAAAGTGGGCATGAATTGTATTCCTAAGACACCAGCATGTGTAATGAATTAAATTTTTATGCTAAGCCGAACAAATTAATAATTTGGCAAAATAGAAAAGATCTTTTTTTTGTTGTTGTTTGTTTCTCTCATTACAGTAACACGTATTGTGTTAGATAATGGGAGGTGAATGGCCCTGCATCACCAGCTGTCGTCACCAATGATGACAGAGGCCTGTTTCACAACGACTTTAGGCTGAAAGTTCAGTCTACCCCAGATAATCGGTAAAAGTTTAATTTAAGTTGCTGATATGTATATATCGTGGTGGCCAGGACTGGGTTAATTGTATTTGGGAAATGGCAAATTAATGCAAGTAAATGTCTTGTTTTAATTAAAAGTTTTACCTGCAAGACGAAAAGTAAATTATAATTAAGATTCGCTTGATCAAATTGATAAAGAAGTATAAATTCTGTGTTCTAGAATCAGACAACGGGGCGCAGTTTTTAAGAGAATAGCCCCCCCCCCCCCCCAAACCCGCAGACGAGATTTGAAACCATCCTTCACTCCTACCGATTCTAGGCAATGAAGTGTTAGATCGCATCATGGTAGATTTGCGTTTGGAAACCATGAAAATAGCGCCGCTGGGTGTACATCAATATATCTAAATCTGTAAAACTTACCTCGATCCTTTCCCTTCGTTATTTGAACCGAGGGAAGTCTTTCCCAAGCTATTCTGTTAACGCGACTGACCCATTGACTTTTAAAACCCGTCTTCAATGTTTCCCTGACACTTTACTGTTATGTTGGAATGCTAACACATATGTCCGACACGTCCTTTGCTTTCATGGGAATCATCAGAGATAGCCCAAGGTCTTTCCACGTAAAATAAAGTGAAAATAATAAAGTGATAGTGTGGTCAGAAATAATGGAAGACTAGGGAGCGAGAATAAGAGCTGGAAGCATTTATCCATGGATATTTTTAGTTATTTTCGCTAACGTTCTGCAGAATTACAGGTTATTGTACAAAAATAGCAATTCACCATGTTTTGCTGTTACTTTTGTATTGCTTTTTAGAACGATATTCCAAGCACATAGAACACCATTATCGCTGAAATTTAACCCAAGCTCATGCAAAATCTTGACTGCAATCTCGGCAATCGTTCGTTCCATTGACCCCTAATCCCATTAACCAATAACACGGGGGTTGTAATCAAAGGGTTGCTTTCCGAAAGAGGGCGTAAAGTCGCGCTATTCTCAGAACAGATGACAAGAAGACCGAGGTGGAGGTAGGATTCGCTTAGTAATACAAATATGTAGCTGATTTGTTTTCTAAGAAGAAGGAACTCCATGCAAATAAAAAACACACAAATAACTTCCTCGGCCTACGCTTCATAATTTTTTTATTCAGTTACCCATGTTCAGTTTTAAATAACACATGACTGTGAACAAGCACAAAAGGGTATGTTTTTCTTTGAAATATTTGCATTTGATATATTCAGTTTTTGCTCTTCGTTGTTAGATAAAAAAATATTTTCAAACAAGATGGTCACACGCCCTCTCCCCTCACCAGTTTTATATGATTACAAATTGATTACAGACTGTTACAAATCTTCAAACGATGTCTCAAATCTCTTGGCAGAAATCAAAGCAATTCGCAGAGGATTTATTATGAAAGGCTTCAAGCAATCCAATACTCAACTGTCCTATAGAAGTTTTAATTCTTCTAACAAACATACCGTGTTCGCTTAAAAACTTTTTAGCTGAAACTTTTGTCATCCTTAGGAAATAATATCTGCAGTGCTAGGTTAATGATTGCCACTTTGTATGCATAGATAGCCGTGACTTTTCATGTCCATGAACAAAAGTTCATATTGGATTACAGTTTAAAAAGGTTCGTTATGTTTTATATTACTGTAAGCCAGCCCATCACATTCGTAATATTCACAGAGTAGGTGAGGGATAAAGTTTTAATACTGTCTTCAACTCCCTCGGAAATGTCACGATTTTCAGCAAATTTCTTGAAGAATTTCGGTATGTTTAGCTCATCAAATTTTGCCTGATTAGATTGTTACATAGCCTCCTTGGGTTTCCCCAGAGAGATCCATGTAACCTGCATCTATTGGTTGTCACCTCACATTATCGGCCTCTTTGAATACAGTGTGAAAAAACAATTTATTACGAAATTTACTTTCTATGAAACAAATATTTAACAAAATACAGTAGAAAATGTAGGCCCTATGCAGCAATGTCTTCAAAATACGAAGCAGCGCCATCCAGTTAAAGGAAAACATCACTCACACAAAGAAATTTTGATTGCAAGGAATGGCCTTCTAAGCCCTCCTTACAACCTTATTTGTGTTGACTGATTACAGAATTATTATATTTTGAAAGATTAGTTTAACAATATATTTGATATCAATTTTGATTTCTAATGTGATTCACTTAATACTGGCAATGTGATTATTTACAATATTGAATTAATTTTTGAAGAAAATTTTTTCTTGGGGTTAGATAATAAAATCGGCCATGATTGGCCAAATCTCGGACAACCAATTCCCTGCATTGTTTACTTACTAGGTATGGATGATGGTGTGAAGGTTTGTGGTAATTTGGGATGGGGGACACATAACGAAAATGAGTGAAAGAAGATAATTGTTCAAATATTTTCTGCTATTTTCTCTTTCACGAAAGCAAATCTAACCTTCACTTTCAAAATCTCTGATCAAATAAATAGTAATAATAATGATATGTCATATTACAGTATATGGCTACATACATGTAAATGCAATAAATGATAAAAAGGTGTAGTAAACATTTTTTGACCCCAGATTNATCCCCATTTAGTTTTTTACTTGGTCACCCCACTAGCCTTAACTTCAACTTGAAACCGTACACCTTTTGTCATAGCCATTTAAAAAGTGTTTTAATTTTCATTTTCAGCGGCAATCCCACACTGCTTTCCTCTACATTGCACTTGTAGACTAGTAGATCTTTCCTGCCGCGAATGAGTCAATGTTTTTTCCATCTGGACGACAAGACCTTAACCATGTGCAGGAGGATTAATTCGTATGTTCGACATTCTGCTCTTCTGGTTTCAAAAATCCCCCCTGTGGCGGGGCCACTGATCTCTGATGCAGAGTAAAACGGCACATTTTTTTATTTCATTTTTTTAGCAGTTCGTGAAAGGCAGCAGTAATTTGTAAGTGTAATTTTGCTCTCTACAAACCTTAGGATTATCAAAGATACACCACAGCCGAATAACTGATGTTTAATCTTGTGTGATGGGGTTACATTGATAAAGAATAGAAGTCAACTGGTCACAAATGAACAATGTAACCCATTCCACTTCAACATAAAATCCAATACTTATTCCCGGTTATATTGGTATTATAGTGCTGTGAATATTGGGTGAACCGCAGGCCACACCCCAGCACAATGCTGTGTCTTATGTGAAGCACAGACACAACGAACAAACGTATGCAATTTATTTTAGTAGTCTCGACGTTTTCCCTGCCCGCAGATAATTTTTTCTGACGACCCTGTCTCTAGCCAAGCCTCCAAGCCTGCTTGAAGATACAAAGTAGTAGCCTTTCTTGATTCTTAAACCAAAAAAATTACATTTTCATGTAAATAGTTTGAATATCTTTTTATCTCTGTGCGACTTTTGCTGCGAAATTTCTATTTCTTTATTTTTGTGTAAAAAATATAGTTCCAATATACAATAAAATTATAGCATATGATTATTTATACTTTGTGTGATTTATCTTCCAACAACGTAGATATTTTTTCTTCTTTACAAGCGCTTCAAAATCAAAATATAGTAAACATTTTTTAATACTTGTAGTTTACATATTTAATAAAATTTAGATACTAGTCGTCATTCGTAACATTGTTTCTTCTTATCCTAAGTTAGATGATATTTTATTTGATAAAGATATTAAGAACCCGGCGAATGCTGTCCTTAAGTAATTACAAAGGGATGGCGCTGAATCCTACATCAAATGGAGTTTCGTCTTGTTTTCGAAACTAATCCGTTAAGCATATTCTGTATCCAATACAGTTTTTAAAGTTTTTACTATCCTTCATCATTGTAATATATTTCTGTATTGCACTATCCTGAATGTTATTTTATTTTATTTACAAGCGTGTGAGTTTAAGTGTCAGTTGAGGTGTACCGGGTGCATGTATCTAAGTCGTAAGGTTTTCATTCACAGGACATCCGTTATTTTGAGGCAAAATTCGCCACCAATATCTGAAAGAGATGAAAAAGAAGGAAGGTCGAAGAGAGAAAACAACAGATGCCACAAACCTGGGAGTTATAGTTAAAGTTGGTGAATATTTAACCGGAATTGGCATTTTCTGTACTAAGTAAATATAACCTGAGAAGCTGAAGCGTGACTGAAAACGGGGTAAAGACGCACATCATTCACTCAAATCTGCCGAGGTGTTGAGAGACACGGTTGCATGAACCATGCTTATGGCTTGTTCTTAGAATGAGCACCATCAAAACATAATCATAATACCTCTCTGGCAAGGGGAAGGGGGCTCCGATAGGCCGCTTTCACCTTTCCCCTATCACTTGTTATCGAGAAGAGATGAACGGATCTAGAATGGTTCATTTGCTGTCGTGCACCCCACAGGCCCTTCCGCAAGATGCCATTTCTACTTTAAATCTCAGCGTGAACAGTTGTTTACCTTTTTAACCTTCAGCAGACCGAGGTGCGCCATGTATATGACCCTAGGAGAGGTGAGAGAGGGGGAAAGAAAATACAAGCTCTTGATGTGAAATATAAATAATTGTACAGCAGCGTACATCCTCGGAAAGTTGATTTTATTTATTGATGTTCACGTGAAAAGGAGATTCAATTTTGAGAAAAACAGGGCGATGATAATAAAATTCGTGTGACAGAAAAAAAGTGGCCTGACCCAAATATTGAAAAAAAAACGGGTTCTTTCTTTTATTTCATCTTATTAAAAATGTACATTTTCAAAGACTGTTGTTAAGTCATTCAATTAGATTCTTTCGTGAAGCAAGTGATGCACTTTCTAGTTCCAAATATAGGAACAACAATTCCGCCATGAGCTCTTCACACTGATTAAGTCGATGTACAATGTAAAATAAATAATTATGACGTATAGTAATATATCTTAGCAGGCCCATAACCAGCAATTTCAAAATGGGGGTTCTTTTTCTGAAAAAGTGGACTTTTTACTATGAAACCTTGGTGTACATAGATAAAATTTTACCCAGAGGAGACCTTTTTCCGGCAAAAAGGGCGGTTCTTTCGAACCCCCCCTCCCCGGGGTCCAGGCCTGCTAAGTGTACCGTCTGAGTGTCAGCCTAGCTTTTGCTACACTGTAGTGCACGTTCCCAGAGTGAAATATCAGTGTACAACTTTTTTCATTCATCAACAACAGAAACAAAAACCAATGCGTCTGCGTTTCAAAAATTCCAGTTCCCTAAATTTCAGAGTAATTTTACCCACCCAGGATTGTTTGAAGGGGTTTGGGACCCACTGAAGGGCCCCAAAAATTTTGATATTTAGAGGGAGAGCGGCGTCATTTGATAAGGTACAGAACTATTATTCAGCAAGTCAAAATGCTAATTTCAAGAGGGAGCCATTGGTGTGATATTTTTCAGAAATCCGCTACTGCCATCAATCATCAATAATCTGCGTAAAAAAACATTTTTAAAAATGCATCCAATACTTTTCAATCAATATAGGGAAGCACCCACCCACCCACCCCCTTCCAAAAAAAAAATTGACACTGATAAAAGTAAGCTTCAGTTGTAAAAGCCATGCGATATATGTGCTGGTAGCGTCTCCCCTAACGCACGGCCGTGGAAAGCGGGATTTCATAGAAAGTGTTCACCATTTTCAGGTCACTACTCTTTTCTTGCTGGTAACAATGTCTCACAAAAGACTATTTTGGAATACGTTATAATGTTGATGTTACTTATGATTTCCATGACTTTCAAAGCTACTTACGAAATGAGAACAAAATCGCTCAAATGTTTAAGGCGATTGTTTATTGCACCACAGGATTTTCTTTTAAAACATTCACTATAAACATTCCAAACCTGGAAGAACTAGTGTATCTAACCAACATGTATACATGAATAAGCGTTTAAAGGGAAACTCCATGGGATTTAACCACCAAAAGGATTTTCCCACAAAAATATGCAATTTTCATGTACTCAAGAATTTCTCACCTATCTCTCTCTGCACTTGGATTCGAACTTTAATTGAATTAATAAAGGGTTGATTTAGTTTAAAATGAATGGTCAGTCATTATAACCAACAAGAATCTTCCTTAGCTTTGATGGAAATATCAACATCAGGTATAAAAAAAAAGAAGAAAAAACTATTTTAGGGATTAAATCATTTTAAGGTGTATGGAAGGTTTATAGGAAGCTGTGGTTAGCAAAAATAAGCATTTAGAGCATTTTCAAACCCATGGAGTGTACCTTTAAACATTAATCTTCTTAAATGCAAATCAGAAGAAATAAAATAAAATATGTAAACACCATTATCTTTGTCTGATAAGCCCAACTTATACTGCAAAGCAATTTTAATCCAGTAAGCACCTCATTATTACATAAAATAATGTATTTCAATTAAAAAAAACTTACCTATGAATAAGCCAATGGCTGAAACTAAAATTGAACAATCACAGGACAAGGAAATTATATTTAAAATTGTAAACCACATATTAAATCTTAAAGTCAAATTTAAAATACAAGGTGATCTTTGGTATATCAGAAATATATGTTTTATATACACCGACAGTCAATGAAAACGCATCAGAAAACTTTCTTGTACTTTTTTACCCAGAATCGATTCAAACCATACAAAGGAGTACAAAAGCACTTGTTTGGAGAGTGGGCTGACCACTATTTCATAATTAACTTATTTCACACGAAAACTGTTATTTTCTTAATGTGCCAAAGGAACTTAAAATATTATTTGATAAATAAATGATGCGTTTTCATTGACTGTCAGTATATATATCGATTGATAGCAGATGAGATGCAAAACACTTAAGATGCAAATAGAGATAACATTCACTTGAAAGAATTTAGATGGTATAGAGCAACCACAGGCTGCATTCCCATAAACCCTTCATACTAGCTGGATTGATCTAACTCTGCAGGGTTCCTCACTAAAGTGCTTTCAGTGTAATCAGGTTAATTGTCTGGTACACCCCATTGAGTTACAATGAGGTAATTGACTACTGTTAATTATATCTAGCAGCTTGAGTAGTAGTATAAAACAATGGAAGAACCTTTAAACACACAATGCACCAAAAACTAGTATTCTGAACAATGATGAAACACAGACCAATATTAGTACACATCTATGGTAACATATTTAAAACTACTTGTTAATCTTGAAAATTAAAGAGACAATTTAAATTCACAGCTTATTTTTCTCCAGCTCTGTCATTCTAAAGGCTCCAATGTCACTGCTCTGGTCTGAGAAAATCTGCAGGAATTATTCTTCCTCACAAACTTATATAAGATGAAAGACGGTGTGAAATATTACTCAGACACATCTCCATCTGGACTACTTAGAAGAGAGACTTCCTCAAATTTCCCCATGCTAAGTTTTGACATTGTCTTTTTCCATTTTTGGATTCCAGTTTCTTTGCCACTTCTCTCAATATTAGCAGCCTGACTGAATGCTCCTACACTCTTTGTGTTTTGTCGTGTGGACCCCAAACCTAAATCTCCATCCACTTCACTGTCATACAATACAGAAGAGTCTGCATTTGAATTGTGTTGATATTGACTAAAATTATGGTGTGAGTTTTGGCCACTATCTGCCTCTCTTGTGCTGTCATAGGAACTGTTGTCATGGAAACTACTTTGACAGTCTGCTGAGGTCCTGTCAGGTATATTTCTTGGCATTTCTACCATGGGGATATTTTCCTCAATATTGCTGAGGAGTCTTGCATATTCTGAACCCCTGTTGCCAGGGTTATTAACATGGGAATTGTTGACACGACTACCACTGGTTGCCATGGATCCTGCACTCCCTGGTTGCACCAAGGCAGCTTTCTTTTCATCATTGTAACAAAACATGTATTCAAATGTGTCATATAGTGCCACCAGAAAGCAGAACACACCTATCAGCAAAATAATCTAAAACAGAATTTGAAAAAATATTACACATTTCTATCAAAATCAAAAAAGTCCATTCCAACTAACAAATGAATTTTCATCAGCAGCCAAAGTTAAGAATGAGCTGACATTTTATGAAGTAACCCAAGTAACAATCTCAAGGTTAAAAAACACTTCAAAGAATACTATAAAATGTTGTTGACTGCAATACCACATTACAATGTATACTGAAGACAAGGCATTTACCTTTAGAGTTTTGGGTGGAATGCTGGCTTCAGGACCTTGGTTGGCAGGAGGGGGCGGACAAGGCTTTGTGAAGTTGTCATAAAGATACCTCCCAGACACAGCATCTGATATTAGTCTTAGAAAACAATAAAATATATGATCAAAACTTATTTGGCGGGTTTTTCAGGACACATGGTGAGGAAAGGAGGGTGGGAGTGTTTAGCGATCACAGGGAAAATCAGAGGAAAGAGAAGCAGAGGAAGACTGCGTGTTGGCTTTGTCAAGAGTTTAGGTTTATGGATGGGTCAATATAATAGTCAATGTCCAGCAAGGACAAGATACTGAGAGAGAGAGAGAGAGAGAGAGAGAGAGGGAGATAATAAGTGTAGCGTAATAATATCTCTCCTCCTTTTATTACACAAAAAAAATGGAGAAAATGAAATATCAGCTTTCACATGGTATTTTATTTGTTCAAACACTTTATTGTACAATAACTCAGCTAATTAATGTTTAAAACTTCCATGATAACGTGAAATCCACTATTATTCATGTCATAGAGACTGTATACATTACCTCTTTCTTGCCTCAAAATTTCCACGGTTCATCTGAGATCCAAACAATACCAACTGCCATTTCTCAAAGATGCCAAATGGAAAGATGTGGTTTCCTGGTCAAAAAGTAAAGTTTCAGATATGGAAGAAATGTAAAATCAATTAGAATTTTCTTAAGAGTCTTTACCCATAATTATTTAATTTAATATCAATGTTTGTAATTCTTTAGTAAGTTGAAATCAGTATTTCAATATGGATTTAGACTTCATCTTAAATTACATATTTGAAATAAAACTTTCCAAAAGATAAACCAAGAACTTTATAATAACACAATACCATGCTTACCACAGCAATTGGAGAGTTGAGGAGGTTAAGGCCAATAAAACTAAAAGATCAGATGTACTGCCTCTTGACCATGTACCGCCCGCAGGGTGTGGTCCATCGAGGGTATCACAACCAACAGAGATAGTTGTTAAGTTATTAAGTGTTCAGAGTTGGCTGATGCAACAATAAAAATGCACAGATGCCCACTAATGAATATTTTTCACGGTACAGCATATAGTGAAAAATGATTGTCTTTGCATTACGTCACAAGCATGTGACAGTGCTGAATCGTAGTCACAGGTGTGACTATTAGGTGTACTTTGCAGTAGCACTTCAGTTCTAGCCCCACAGCTTAGCAGTCAGGACACACTAAAATTTTCAAGATGTCTCAAGGCAGGGAGTCGGTTCCTAACAGAGGAGAAACAGAGTCCCTAAAGTAAACGACATCATAACCCAGAGAGTTAAAACCCAGGTCATCGCCTCCCAAACAGTAGTGCTATACAACCTACAGAGCATGATAGCCACCAATCTTAAACAATTCTCGGAGTCCATGGACTTAACACAAAAGCATATCCCTAACATAGAGGAAGAAGTGTCCTCTTCTTATATGTTTAGAAGAAAGGGCAACGAACAACAGTACATGGTGAACGATCAAGTCTTAAGGAAGCTAAACGATGCTGACGAAATCCTAAGATGCCAAAAGGCTTCAAACAACACATTGGAGAAGGCCTGGGAGAAAATCTGCGAAGGTATACAGGTCTTATTAGCCAGACAGAAGCTTATAGAGATTGCAGATTCCAGCTCACAAGGTTGGCGCATTGATGAAGAGAACAGTTCAAAGCCCGTTGCAGATGACTCAGAGGATGAAAAGCGCATCCTTAAAGCTCAATCAAGGGCCGAGAGAAAACTCAAGGAAGGCATTAAGAAAAAATCTAGGAGTGACTAAAACCGGAGATTTCAGCCTTACCCTAGAGCCAGGTACAACAGACCAGGGAAATGACAGTGTCCAGTAAACAGGCCAAGAGAGGATTGGGCCAAAGACTATCCCAACGATGCCAGACAGAGCAAGAATGAAACAATAAGTAGACACTGTTATACTCACAAAGGCAAAATCGAACGTTTCGATGATGCATGTTTATCTTGTGACAATAAATATTCAAACAAAAGTGAAAGTAAACGATTAGAATGTGACTTTGAGCAGTTATCCCAAACAGAATAATTTGCATAGCAAAATTGTATTCTGTCACCCGTAGGTAGATTTAAGTCATACATTTCAAAATGGGTCAAAACAGAGGCTTGGTCTCACTTATTGGAAGTTATTGAATCAGGTTACAAAATTCCTTTTAAAGATACACCTGATAAGGTCTTTCTCAGAAACAACAAATCAGCCCTGGAAAATGCTACTTTCATATCCAGCGAAATTACAGCTTTGTTGAACAAATGTTGCATATCAGAGGTACATTTTCCGCCCCACGTTACCAACCCTATATCCGTCGCTTACAGTAGGTCCGGTAAACCTCAATTGGTATTAGATTGCAGGCACATCAATCCTCACTTATTCAAATTCAAATTTAAGCACGAAGATTTCAGCATAGCCAGAGATAAATTTAAGAAAGGGGAATATGTGTTTTCATACCATTTGAAATCTGCTTATTTCCACATTTTTGTTTTTCCCGATCAATGCACCTTTTTCGGATTTACTTGGATCATAGATGGGAAAGAAAGATCATTTGTTTATAATTCACTTCCATTCGGTCTAGCTACTTCCAGATTCATATTTTCTAAACTTACGAGGCATTTTGTCAAATACATCAGGTTGAGGGGACACAAAATCATCATGTACTTGGAGGATGGGACAGCCCGGAGACCCCAATTTTTCTAGCGCTTGTCAGTTCAGCAATTTAATCAGAGAAATTTGCAGTTCTGGGCATTTGGGGTAAGTGAGAATATTAAACTGCATACATGTGGTCATGGTCTATATGGAGTTAACCTTGCAGTAAATGATGCAGGCTGACATACAAAACGTGGTCCTGGCAACAGAAAGCAAGGTGAAAGGTTAACAGGCTAGGATGTATGATACCTTACTTTGTACTGTACATGTATATGGTGCTGACCTCTATCTGTGACCTTCAGTTTCCAAATTCCTACTGGGTTCTCACCCCAACATCTCACTGTGCTGAATGTCCAACCTTGGAAACCATCTGATGAACTGAATAAAAAGAAAAATGAATCAATTATACTACATGTACATGCATTTAAATGAGGTTTAAAATGCTATTTTCTAGAACCAAAAATCCAAGCTTAAAATATGAAAATCCAAATCACCACTGTGACACAATAATTGTTTTTAACAATGGAGACAGAGATAGATGGGGAGGAGGGGGGGAGAGCAGGGAGCCAATAATGAGAGTTCATTTAGGTTTCAAGTGGCACGTACAAATATAGAACAAGTAAGGTGTTATCAATACGATTATTCATGGTTCCAAGGAATTGTATTTAGCTGATATTTTAGTGATAATAATCACTAACTTTGAGACAAAATATTTGAAACTATAATTAAAATATCTATAAGTAATTACAATGTTCTTAAAAACAAAGTTTGATTTTTTCCCATCCAGAATTGTTAGAAGGTTATCTAAGAATATATAGCTATCTGTGGTGAGTACACTTTGTACCTGTCTTTAGGTCTTGGTGTAGCTATAACAGAATCAGTCCCGCTAGGACATGTCACATGAATGTCAAGACTGCCTCTGTGGGGGTGACTCAGGGTCACAGTCACCTGCACATGCTCAAGTAGAAATAGGTTATATCCTGCTAGGACTTCTTCTGAAACTAGAAAAAAAATCAAAATAAACTAGAGGATCAGAGAGGCGATACCGCCTCCGGATATTGTACCACCAGCTGGAGTAAGCGCATTCGTATGGACCCCCCCCCCTCCAAAAAGGGACACCATCACCAGTCTTGTGCTTGACAAGCTCTATAAAATGCAATCGACAGGAGTTCTCAAAATATACAAAAAAATATAATTAAAAATGGTCAGTATATGACTTTCTATTCAACTTCAATAGTAACTATGGACCTATCTCTGCCAGTTTTGGAGATATAAGGGACTAAATGTTATAATTTTGCAGTTACCATAATGTGCCATAAATTTCCTACAGAAANGCGGAGCCGGCGGAACGATCCGGACGGGACCGAAACCATGTGTACCGCCAGCGCTAACGCTGGTGGTACAATAAAATGTAATAAATCAATTTTTCAACATTACAATGAAAAGCTACTTAACATAAGACAAAATAATTCTGTTAAGCCCCCTTTACACTGGACAATGTCCTTTCTGCGTCCTGTAGTACAGCCCTGTTTGAGAGAAAAAATACTTTAAATGCCGACAACTGGATGATCATTGAGCATTCATTCTGCAGACCAATGCCAGTTTCATGGTGGCACAAAGGATGCAGAAATTACATGTCAGGCTATCAATCTGTCACAGTGGACCGGTCCAGTTTAATAAACTGCTCATTGCAAAAAAGGTCTTAAATACTTTAATGGACAATACCAGGTCTTGTAAATTTTTCCTACACGAAAACTATATAATATGAAATAAAACTACAGTAATTACTATTTACATTAGATCATCCCTATTGAGTGGTAGTAACAACATTTTTAAAAAGGCTAATCTATATATAGTTCCATTCTACACAATACAAGCACCACAAATGCTATACAGAAATATAATTTTTGTGATTATAAAATTATGCATCTGAAAATTTGATAATTTTTTCCCAATGAAAAGATCCCATCATTACCGTAAGTCAGTAAATTTCCTTCAAAACAATTTTATGTTAAATCTTTTAATTTAAAGGGTAAATGTTTTTCTCTTAATTTTTTAATAATTGAACATTCATTTACTAAAATTATCATCAACACTGCACTCTGAATTGTATACAAAAAGTGTAACATACCTGTCATATTCAGTTCTAAAACTTGGGGATGTCTTGGTATTTTAGTATGTACAGTGACCTCTGGTGATGAATATGTTGACATCCATGGCACTGGATCCCACACCTTAATTTGTTCATATATGTACTTTAAAGAATACATACTTCTAATTTTTATTCAACACACAATAATACGTATTCAATTTTTAGCACTTTAACATTTTCCAACTAAAACTCATTGTTATAGCAATTTTAAAAGTTGAGATGCATACAAGTAGCAGTATATTGAACTCTGTAATGCCTGGCTTGCTCTTATAAACTAACAGTTGCATGTTGTTCATTGCTTGTCATAAATTCTGCGATAAATATTTATAGTAATTTGGATATGTCCCACTGATTCTGAACCAGATAAATACATGCAGCTTTGGATTTACACAGTGTATGGATGGAAATATAATTATTTTCAGTCAACTCTATAGTGATGTTTAAGTTCAAAAACGACTAGTCCATGCCTTTGCTGCGTTGACAAGTCTCCAAGCGTCCAGGAGTCCAAAGCCGTGTTTGTGGCTGTGGTGGAGGCCTGCCTGGTTGG